AAAAATATATTGTAGTTAGGTGAGACTTGAACTGTGGTTCTCAGCTTTGTAGGCAGATAACTATCACCATAGTAATAATATATTTTAATGATGTATTGTTAATAATATTATTAATGATGGCGTATAGTGTATAGATACTGTACAGTCGTAGGGAGATCATGATATAACACTGTATAGTTACAGCAAGATAATATACTACTGCATAGTCACAGCTAGATAAGATATAATACTGCATAGTCTTAGCAAGATAATTATGTACTATTGTACAGTCTCATCAAAATAGTGATATACTACTATATAGTCATAGCAAGATAACAATATAGTACTGTGTAACCTCAGATAGGTTTTATATACTGTCTGTATAGTCTCAACAAGATAACAACATAGCAATATAATGTATAGTCTTAGCAAGTTAATGACATAGTACTCAGACAAACAATCTATGCAGACTTAATATATAGACATGGTATAGTCTCAGCATAATATGACATACAAGTGTATAGTTACAACAATGTTCATAGTATATAGACATTTTATAGTCTCAATATAATACGACAAGGAACTGTATAGTCACAGTAAGATAATAGTATATAAACATGATATAGTCTCAGCATAATATTACATACAAGTATATAGTCACAGCAAGATGATAGTATACAGACATGATAATAGTCTCAACATGATACGACATAAAAGTATATAGTCAAAGTAAAATAATAGTATACAGACATGTTATAGTCTCAGTCACAGCTGGATAGCAGTGTACAGACATGATATAGTCTCATCATAACAGGACGTACAAGTGTATAGTCACAGCTGGATAGCAGTATACAGACTTGATATAGTTTCATCATAACAGGACGTACAAGTGTATAGTCACAGCAGGACAATAGTACACAGACATGATAATAATTTCAACATGATTACGACATAAAAGTATATAGTCAAAGTAAAATAATAGTATACAGACATGTTATAGTCTCATCATAACAGGACGTACAAGTGTATAGTCTCAGCTGGATAGTAGTATACAGCCATGATATAGTCTCATCACAACACGACATAAAAGTATATAGTCACAGCAGGATAGCAGTATACAGACATGATAATAGTCTCATCATAACAAGACATACAACTGTATAGTCACAGCAAGATAACATACTCCTACACAGTGCAATCTAATCAAAATATGACATACAACTATATGAACATATCACTGAAGACATAAGACAATACCACAGTATAATCCAACAAAAGATACGATACGCTACTGTATAGTCATTGCAAGCACCGTTCACGTAGGAGTGTGATAAACAGCCATTGCACGTTGATGACTGCCGGATAACGAACACGCTCGTGACTACGTGCGTGTGTCTGTGCCTCTTTGCATTAATACCAAGAGTCAGCAGATTAATTACACGAACGAGAGAGTGTACGTGTGCGAAGTTGATTCCCTCGCAGACGCGTACACGTGTGGCAAATACACGTGTTCGTGGAAATTTCCAGCCTCGTGTGAAACAAGAGGCAATCTGTGGAAATAAGGATGATCGAGGCTTTGATCGACGTTATTTGATCGATGTATAATCGTCAGGTAATTTTCGGGGAGAAACGAATACTCAAATACGTCATTTGTGATTTGCTGGTGTGATGTGGAACCTTCAACTTTCGAGCAAGGTCACAGGATTTAAAGTTCATAAACTTCTAGCTTGTTAAAGTTCTAACTTGATGAATTTCTAACTTGTTAAAGTTCTAACTTGATGAATTTCTAATTTGATGAACTTCTAACTTGATGAACTTCTAACTTGATGAACTTCTAACTTGATGGACTTCTAACTTGATGGACTTCTAACTTGATGGACTTCTAACTTGATGAACTTCTAACTTGTTCAACTTCTAACTTCTCAAACGTCTAACTTTTCAAACGTCTAACTCCTCAAACTTCTAACTTCTCACTCTTCTAACTTCTCAAACTTTTAACTTCTCAAACGTCTAACTTCTCAAACGTCTAACTTCTCAAACGTCTAACTTCTTAAACGTCTAACTTCTCAAACTTCTAACTTCTCAAACTTCTAACTTCTCAAACGTCTAACTTCTCAAACCCCTAAGATCTCAAACTCTGATATCCACAAACTGTCCTCATAAAGAACTTCATTTTGTTTATAAAAGGTGTGTTTATCAACTCTCTTATCAGCAAATATCGATAAAAGTGTTATCACAATTATTCATAGTTACAAGCAAGTTCTAAAATATTATTTTACTAAACTCCTTATATTTTCTTCACAAATCTCAATATTTTCCACATTTAACCAACAAAGAAATATTATTATTTCTACTATTAAATCTCCCCCCAAAAACACAATTAACTAAATTTCATCCAAAAGCAATAAACCCGCAATATTTAACCAAGGAACAAAGACAGGATTTAACGGAATAAAAGAGGCAAGGTTTTTCCTAGAAACTCAATTCGAAAATACCTAAAATGAAAGGTTCGTTTTACGGTTTTCGAGAGGTTAGTTGTCCCAAAGGACTATCCTATAATATAGGATTTCTGACCTGTTCAAGGTCCCGTTCGATTGTTTCAAAAGGATTCGAGATCTTCTGATCCCGGGTTCTCAGGTAATTTCTCGTTCCACGAATTTCGCCTTTCCATTCGTCGAAATAGCTTTTGCTCTCCGTTCGTATACCTACGATGCAGGATAATTTTAGACTCACCATCATCGATTTCAATCTCTGTCGATTCGAAAGCAATTAAGAATTAATCCTGTCGGTGTTATGCGAAGCCCCGAGGCAGGCAGTTATATGTACCTTTATAATGAAGTATGAAATTAATTTTGATCCATTGAAATTATTATTAAAATTGTACTTTGTGTTGGTTGTACTTTTATCGAATGTTTTCATTTTTTAAAAATGATAAATTAAATTGAAAAATGGTAGATTGTTTTGATGGATGAAGGAAGGGAATTCCCGTGCCACAATGTTCAATTAGGAGTTCGAATAAAGCAATTGTACACGTTTCCTGTATCTCTGATTAGAGTCTAATAGAAATAAATCATCGTTATCGGTCAAGGGTTTGCATGCATCCGATTGCATAAGAGTGCTAACACTATAATATCCGTGAAGACTCGAGTCCTCGGTAAATGATGTATTATTCCTGTACACTCGGTGCAAGCTAAGCTTCTTTCTGGTTTTATGATTTTATTAAGTGGAAAGTTAGAAATTTTGGGAATTTGAGAATTTGGGATATTTGGAAATTTGGGGGGTTGGGAGTTGGAACATTTGGAAATTTGGGGATTTGGGGATTTGGGAATTTGAGAATTTGGGATATTTGGAGATTTGGGGGGTTGGGAGTTGGAACATTTGGAAATTTGGGGATTTGGGGATTTGGGGATTTGAGAATTTGGGGATTTGGGGATTGGGGATGTGAGAATTTGGGGATGTGAGGAATTTGGGATGTGAGGAATTGGGGATGTGAGGAATTGGGGATGTGAGGAATTGGGGATGTGAGGAATTGGGAATGTGAGGAATTGGGAATGTGAGGAATTGGGAATGTGAGGAATTGGGAATGTGAGGAATTGGGAATGTGAGGAATTGGGAATGTGAGGAATTGGGAATGTGAGGAATTGGGAATGTGAGGAATTGGGAATGTGAGGAATTGGGAATGTGAGGAATTGGGAATGTGAGGAATTGGGAATGTGAGGAATTGGGAATGTGAGGAATTGGGAATGTGAGGAATTGGGAATGTGAGGAATTGGGAATGTGAGGAATTGGGAATGTGAGGAATTGGGAATGTGAGGAATTGGGAATGTGAGGAATTGGGAATGTGAGGAATTGGGAATGTGAGGAATTAGGAATGTGAGGAATTGGGGATGTGAGGAATTGGGGATCTGAGGAATTGGTGATGTGAGGAATTGGGGATCTGAGAATTTGGGATGTGACAAATTCGAGATCTAAGAAATTAGGGGTCCGAGACTTTGCAAATCTGGAAATTTGAAAATTAATAAACTCAGAATTTCAAGAAATCAAAAACTCGTAAATAGCTCGTACCAAACCTAATAATCACCAACTCCACAAACATAATATCTCTATAAATTAATAAACCATACTTAAACTCGAAGATAATAAAATGTAAAGACATGCAACTTCAAACCCATACCTGTTCTTACCCAAAGGAAGTTTACGTTGCACTTGACTGTACATTCACTGGAATTACCTACGACGATCAACTATAATTTGCAATCGGCTTCGGCTTGTCCCGAAGAATGGTGACACATACGCAGACCTCGAATCTTCGAATATTCACTAGATATATTCTCCGTTTCGTTGAACACCAAACTACAAGAATTATCTTCCCGTTGCTTATTATTTATTCCAATAATACTCATTTCCAAGTACATGTCTGATTCCTTCGGAATATCATTTGCTGGATGATTCAGCCTTTACATTACTCGTTACTAATGCATTAAGCTGTAGATTATGTATGTACTTTTTTAGTATACAATTTATGACAAATAAAATTGTACGAAATGGTTTTTTGTTATTATTGGAATAATTATGTGATGGTTTATTATTAAACTAATTTTCGAGTCTTTTTGTTTGACCTCGAGTCATAATGAATATAATAGATGACACTTAATTCTTTGCTGTTTGTAGAAAATTATTCTACATTTTTTCTATTATTTGATGTTTGCTCTTGGAATACAGTCCCTCGTGCTGATATCACGCGTATTGAATATGTTAAAAATACTTGGAAATATCTGGACAAGTGGGATAAAAATGATTTCTAAAATTGAAGCTAGTATAGTATCAAACTATCAAATATTTATAAAAAAACTCAGCTTTATAAGTATTGAGTATATAGCATTATAACTTACTTATTGAACATACAGTTGTCCCAAAGAGTTGACTCATCATTTTTAATTAAATTTCCTGAATATATGATAACGTATCTATTATTTTAAGAGCAATGACAGTATCTATATAGCGTTGTTCCTTTGTTTCAGAACGCAGCCTCCGCGAAAGCGAAGGAGCCCAGCTCGACGTCATCGACGAACAGCTCGGGGAGCAGTTCGAGCGGGAACAATGGCGGGCACGCGCCCCTACGTCGCAGCTACACGTCCCTAGTGACCAGTCTGATCGAGCAGCATCGTAAACTAGATCGCAGCGCGAGCGAGCCAACGTCTCGCTACAAAACCGAGCTGTGCAGGCCATTCGAGGAAAGCGGTACCTGCAAATATGGCGATAAGTGTCAGTTCGCTCACGGCTACAGCGAGCTACGCAATCTCGCCCGTCATCCGAAATACAAGACCGAGTTGTGCCGCACCTTCCACACGATCGGATTCTGTCCGTACGGTCCTCGTTGCCACTTCATCCACAACTTCGAGGAGGCAAGGATCCACAATCAGAAAGTGAGCGCTCAGCTGGGCTCCACGCAGCCGAACATTATGGGTTTGAACCCGTTGTTGAGCGCCGCGGCGGCAGCGGCCGCAGCCGC